TTCCTTACGTTATAATAATTCCAAACGACGCAAAGAAAGTTATTTTTCTGTTTCCTATCATCATCAGTTTCTAGTATCTTTATTTTCTTTTGTCGAAAGGTACTCATTTTCCTGTCAGAGAGTAGACAACATGGCATCATCGTAAATTAATATGTATGCGGGTCTCTGATATTCCATCATTTTCCATCCAACATATTTTGAATGATAGTTTAGATTACTTCTCATAAATGAAGTGACACGTTTAGATGGGAACGGGACCGACTGAGCAGCATACCTATTTAACTGCGACGTGACGTCGCCACATCACAGTGCCACCTTCAGGTTTTGCGGTATTTTTTAGTCAGTCTCCTTCTTGGTGGGATTTAGCACTATCGTCACATTGTCAGCAACTGCTTATTTCGCAACTCATCCATATATTTGAGGTTTGTCAATTATCCTCAACCGATGCCGCATTTGATGGCGTTTTTGATTGTTTCGGTAATTAACCGAGCTTGTCTAATATTTTGTTTTGTACATGTACATTTCGTTATTCATTGAGCCGTTTCAAAATTTTTAACATGGCCTTGGCTGTTAAATCTAGCTTTCACTTCTATGCATTTAGTTTCAACATTAAAAGAGTTCTATGCATTGGGCGACAAAGCTAACGACAAAGAAATTCTAAGGAAGTTCGTAGAGGAGCACTTTGATGAGCCAGGCACGGTAAGCGAATGCGATCACTAATTTTTACTTCCTTACACCAAGGTATTTTGTCCCTTTAGGAACTGGAACCGTGTATTCCTGAAGACTGGAAGTCGCATCCGAGCAGTTTCTCTCGGATTAAGGACTATAAATTCAGGATATGGGCTGTGAAGCTGAACCGCATGTGGAAGGAACTCTGTAGACGGGTATGTTTTCTGTTGTTTGTAGTAGGAGAACACTTTTGAAACGTCCGTTACGTTTTCCGTTTTCAGGTAAAACCTTATGTGAGAGATCATCCAGAGCTGTTCTCGTTGCTGTACGTGCCTTATGACTTCATAATACCTGGCGGGCGGTTTCGTGAATTTTATTACTGGTAATGAATTAATAATTTAATTAGCAGAATTTTTTTGATGTAGCGTCATGTTTACTTTCCATGCCGTTTCGTTCAGGGACACGTTTTGGATCATCAAAGGACTGTTGTTTTCTGAAATGTACCACACGGCTAGAGGCGTGATCAGGAACCTCGGATACATGGTTGAAAAGTGAGTAAAGATTGGTGTGTTTTCAGCAATGTAAACGTCATTTTGCCTGTTTCAGTCATGGTTTTGTACCGAACGGTGGTCGCGTTTACTATCTGTTCCGGTCGCAGCCGCCACTACTCATACCAATGGTCTACGACTATTATTTAGCGACCGGCGACATCGAATTCATCCAAGAGATGCTGCCTGTCCTGGAAAAGGAATATATGTTTTGGCTGGTTCACCGCGGCACGCCATACGCCTCCGCCAAAAATTCGGAGACTCTCAATATTTTTCAGTACAAGTCCAGCATGAATACACCAAGGTTATTTTTGTGGCCTCCGCTTTAGTGAAGTGGCTTTCTTACGCGTTGTCTTCTAGACCGGAATCATACAGGGAAGATCTTGATTTGGTTAAAAACCTCGAGTCGCCCGGTACGTGTTTTTAACTTATGCAAAACTGAGTATTCATTTAATGCACCAGAGAAATATAGGTAGATTGGCAGAATACGTGTTTTCTCTGTTTCGGTTAGTTTAGTATTCCGTTTAGGTTATTCCATTTCCATGGACTACATATATTCACTAAAGTTCACACCACTTCTATTACCTTAGACAAGTGATTTCCATGACATTGAGAGCAAGTGCGAATCAAGTAAATGGATGGCGTGATAAGCAGTGAGTGCAGTAAGATGTCAGTTTGTGCTCGCAGAAGCTGTGAAGGCACAGTAAGGAGGAACCTCTGTTTGTAGCCTCTTAAGTGGCCAGAAAAGATGGTTCTACGATGGCTGATTATGTTAGTGTGGACGACAATCCGGTCATATCGACATCGGTTGCACTTTTAGCAAAGTCACATAGCGTGATTCTGAGCAGCGGCATTCGTCTCTTCATGCAGCGGGTTGAAGGTTAGCGATAAAGACTTTCTCTAGCATTGAGATCTCGACAGAATACATGATTGCTAGACCCTTATTTTCACGACATTATGATAGTGCGACAGGGCTTTCTATGACCATATATTAGATGGGGTTGAAGGTTAACTGTTTATGAAGTCTGATAGGCTCCATAACGTCGAGACTGGGTAACTGTGCACCTGGTCTGCAGTATGCAGACGATCTTTGCTAGTTTTTATGGTGTTTCAGTAGTCTTTCTTTGCGCCGCATCCAGAATCGACTCCACTGTGCTGATAGTCGTTTTATGTGACGAAATAGAGTGGTTATGTGGCGGTTGCATTTTTTCAATTATGCAGTTAGTCATGGATAATTTCTGTGCTAGAATGGTTACTGTTTACTTGGCAAGTTCGTGTACAAGATTAATGGGATCGTTGGCATCAACATCTTTCAGTAATACTTCTGAATAGCGCTAGAAGCTCAGTTTCTGTAGGCATTTCACAACAGACCAATAGATTCAACCATTTCTTTATTCGTCCATTGACAAATGGTACATTTGGCAATATTTCCACTAAATTGATGTTAACCGTCAAGGGATTTTACAATGACATACTCTCAAGGAAAATCGATGTGTAGTGACAAGCTTTTTACTTGTAGTTTGAAGTAGCAGTGAGTACTACTAAAGAAATTGCTTTAACAGCCTTTTGTGCAAGGTCCACAGAGCTCGAGTTTTTTTTCAGCCTTCCTGGAGTTCCGCAACTAGCAGGTATCAGTTGAATTTTTCGTGGTGCTGTATAAAGTAGGGGCAATATATTCGCACATTCCGTTGCGAATCGCAGCATATAACGATAAGGACAGACCTGGAAGGTGCACGAGTAATATTAATTGTTGGGTTTGATGCAATTTAAAAAAAACTAGCCTTACGAAACTCCTTTACGTTGAATTGATACTGCGATGAACTGGCGTATTTCTGAAGGGCAGAGTCGCGTGTCCGTGCTTAATGGGACGTTTGTTTCAGTTGATCGCGAGAAGATGTGGTCTCAAATTGTATCGGGTGCAGAAACCGGCTGGGATTTCAGCTCCAGATGGTTCTCGCACTCAGGTCCGGAGGCGTACACCCTGAAGTCGATCCGCACGTTGTCGATTGTTCCCGTCGATCTTAACGCGTTCATGTGTATGAACGCTCGCATTTTGGCCAATCTCTACGAACTAACTGGTAATCTTAAACTGCTTGTTTTTTCATGGATAAAAACCCTTGAGACCGTCGGTTTAATTCTTACTACCGCCTTTTATCATAGCTTACACATGTTGCATGTCTTCAGTTGCACATATTATGATCGCACCACCCTCTTCTGGTAAACAGGCATATTTTGTTATATTGGTTTTAATGACATCAGTAAATTAATAAATTCGTGATAAATAGTCAACTCGGAAAAGGTATAGCATAGTATGGTATAGTTTGACTATGGTTTTCTGGAGTAATACACACGAACGAAGGTATGTCACGTTGGGCCTCTTTTTATCTATTGAAAAAATCTCTTTACCTGGTGGTATATTATAGCAGCAAAAGGCAGTGTATCTTGAAAGTCACATTATTAAGGAGCATATGTATATGTATAATTAAATGGAAGCCTAAAAATTGCAATGAAAGGAGACCTCATGCTGAAATAACTTGATCATAATAGCATCTTTGAGATGTGTATTAGCGTTTCATCGGTGTTTACTGTGAAATAAACCGGAGTTCCTCAGCGGACAGAACGTCTGCCTCAGATCCGCGAAGTCCCGAGTACAAACTCTGGACGGTCCATTGGCATTTCTTTATATCAAGGTGATAATTGTGTGCCGCTTTGTGGAACGTAGAGCAGAGACTACGCGCAATGCTTGTCATAAAGCTGTAGATTTCACCTTTTGAGGCAGGCACTCCTGGTTGATGGCAGGAAAGCGTAGATCAGTGCCAAACCACACGCTTCATGAAATACGAGCTCTACAAGTGTCCATCAGTTTATGAATACTTGAAGGAGACTGACATCCTATCGTAAAGTAAATATTACAGAACGGTTTACGTCATACTTGGTAAGAGTTTTAGACAATGACGTCCGTATTTCACTCTAACTCACGTCGTCCATAGCCAATATGCTGATTTTTCTATAGGTAATAGAACGAAGGTGCTGTTGTTTCAAGCTCGTTATGAACAAGCTAAGGTAGCGATGAAGCAGATTCACTGGAACGAAGAAGATGGTATTTGGTACGATTACGATTTGGATAGCAGGCGGCATGTCGCTGCCTACTACGTGTCAAACGTTCTACCTCTGTACGCTAAGTGCTACGATGATGACACAGTTCCAATGCGGGTTTACAACTATTTGAAGGTGGGTTTTTTTCTGGAACAGTGATATTATAATCTTGCTGTATTTCTGTTGACGTGCTATTGATCGTCCGAGTATGCGGTTTCATTGCTATACAGTACGGTCCCTGCATACTAACTGTTTTAGAAATTAGCCTCGGTACTTCTAATCCATTTTAATGACTCATACTCATTTTCCAAAGTTCTATGCCGCCCTCCTGTTTGACTAACGATCCATTTCACGAATTTTCGTGCCTATTTTAGCACTGAGGCATAAGAGTTGCATGAGTTAGCCTGGGAATTCTCGAGTAAACCTTTTGTACACGAGTTCATTTTGTTTTATGTAGCGTTTGTACAGGCAATTTTCTGATTCGTTGAAGTCTAGGGTCAGTGAGAAGATTGAAAGGACATGTATAGTTTGCCGGGTTTCCATTCGTTTTTTAACCTTATGTACTATTTACGTAATTTCTTTTTTTCCGAATGTCACAAACGAGATAACAGTGATTTAAATCTTTAATCATGAACATTATATATCGATACTGACATGTTGGACCAAATTCGGTCCGCCTTCAGAATAACAAAGTATTTAATATGCATGAAAATTAAACAATTTATTAACTTGTTTTAGGGAACTCTCCTAAAAAATTCGTAGACAACTGCTTTTAGGACTTAGAAAATGTCACAACCAATCGAGTAAATATTTAATAATAATGAAGACGAACAGATTGAACGCCCCAGTTGTTTCGGCTTCTAGTGAGTTTAATTTACAGAGTATTGTGTTATTGTTTGATAAGATGTCTGTATCATCTGAATTATTTTCAGGCCGTTCCTTTTGTACACTACTTTTTTATATTATTTAATTACCTCAGTCGAAACGGTCATTTAATGTTAAGTGATCTATTTATTAATCCGACGCTGCTTCAGATGCGGGAGCCGCCATAGTGATTATTTACCTGTTATAATTAAGGTAATATTCGAGATGAAGTGCAACACTGTGCAGTCGGTAATTTGTTTGCCTTGCACTTTACATGCACTGAATTCAGATCGTCGCGAAATTTTTCTTATTCATTGCAGATTCCCTTTGGCAAGAAATCTCCCCTACCGGGCTTCGGTGCAGTCAGCCGGGAAATTGTAGCATTCCGGTGATGAGCGAACACATAGGCAGCATGGTGATTACGTGTGGTCATGCCAGGGCACGCGAATCTTGCGGCTGTGCTGTGTGATGCATGCACCTTGTGGCTGTAGTTTGCCTTGACTTATCTGATAGCTGACTAAAAATGGATCGAGGTTACTAAGTCAGTTGGGCGTCGGACTCAGAACCCATAGATATTAGGTTATAGCATCGGTCAGTCTACTCGTCCTTCTTTTCGAGGTGGATAAATGACTACCATTGTGTGAGAAAGAAACAGGGAACGATACACATTGTTGGTGTCGACTTTACCTTTAAAGTGAGGCACTCCTGGCTTACAGCATGGAAATGGAGATCAACGACCCAGCATTAACTTCATGCAAGTGAATGCTTCAGAAATTGCTCAATA